TGACCAATCTGTACTGGGCCTGATGCGGGACAGCATGTGCTCTTCAAGCCACCAGGCTGCAGGAGGCAGTGGTGGAAAGATGCAGGATGAAAGTCCAAAATGCCACTGACATTTTACATTTTTCTTGATGGCAACTGCTGGAAAAGACTGGAAAGATCTCTGGAGATTAGTCTTAACCAAAGAATTGTAATAAAAGGTAAAGAAGAACCTTAGGTAAGATTTATCTTGGATGTATCCAGTATCTTTTATCTTTTTATCTTCAAATCCCTTGGTGAGGAACAAATCCATTTCCTCTGATGTCTAGATCTTTAGGAGGTATGGGAAGTTTACCAAAGACATTCCAAGGATCATCAATAACAACCCTAAAGCAATGGGAAGGAATGTTCTAGAAGCCCCTGTTAGGTGCCCACGCTCTGCAGAACCACTATTAAGGACCTGGCTCTACAACCCCGTGAAGCATAACTCTACATCTGCATTTCAGCCCTGCTTCCTAATGATCACAACGGACATGTCTGCCTCACCCTCTAGACTGGGAGCTCCCTAAGACAGGCAGTGTGTCGTATTCATCTCTGTGACCTAGACACAGCCCTGGGCAAGGACCAGCATGAAGATCGAATATTATCCACAGATGAAGCATCAATGACTCCACAACCAAAAAAAGGCAAAGTCCAGGGAAGTAAATGCTTCCTGAGGAACATGTCTGCTTCAAACTCACATCTTTTGTGGCTCACCTGCTAGAACCATCACCTCTCCTGCTCCAGGGATAGGGGAAACCCCTGAAGGGGGAGAACGGAAGCTGGAGGTTGGGCACTTAGAAGGTACATAGTAAATATGCGCCCCATGGCCTGACACCATCCATCTGCCGGCGACCTGACATCCTCTCCAGACTCTCCAAGCTAAAATTCCCCCTAAAGTTCAGTGCCAGGAAAGTTTCCCTTCTCCAAAGAACCTGTGCTTCCTCTTATTAGGTATCTAGTCCTTTGCACCAGGATGCTCTGAGCTATAGTGGTACCTTATACAGCTCACTCTCACTCTGGGGCTCCAGAAGTCACATCTATCCCACTTTAAACATCACACGGAAAAGCTGAGTCCATTCAATAGACCATCATTCCATTCAGTGTTTATGGGGCTTGTACTGCATATTGAAGCCATGCTAGGCATTGACATATATACAATTAAAAAGTAATATTCACAAGTCAAGAAGCTCCAGCCTGACATTCTACTACAATTTTGCTTCAGAAGCAGGTAATCTTAAGCACAGGTTGGGCACATTTGTTGCGTTCTTGGGCCACAGCTAAGTGGGTGGGGTGTACCCGTCCCCACACGATTTCAGACTGCTGGTGGGGCACCACTCCTGTTACCTACTGCTGACTGTCCTCCTGTCTCCTTTCATTCACCCTCTCGAACACAAGTAGTGGCTATCCCCTGTCTTCTGTCAAGGTCATCTTTTGATTCCTCTGTGAGCTGGGCCTTCCAGAGCATAGCAAAAGAATTATGGGTTTGGGCTCTGGTAATAGACAGCCAGGGGTATCTCAAGTCCAGATATGCTCTTTACCAGATAAGACATCCTGGGCAAGTCACTTAACTTCTCAAAACTGTCTGTGGCCTCTGTTGAGTATGTTTGTCAAGCAACTCTGCTGAGGACTATACGAGTTCATCCCTGCAAAGGCCTTAGCATGGTGCCAGGAAATAAAAGCATGCACCCAAAGCCAGCTGCAAGTAATTCTAGTACCCTGGCTGTAATATACTGAATATATTTTTGTATTAGTGTTACTCCCTTACCAGAATAACCAATACACCTGCTGGCCATTCTACTTCTTGTTTCAAAAGTTAAAGTTAACCATCATAGGGTATCAAGAACAATCTTTCTGCCTCTAGTTCATGTAAGGTGGCGACCTTGGGTTCTGAGCTGTCCACATTACAGGTCACTGAGAATCATCGTGTAGTATGCAGTACATGGAACAGGTGGCTTTGATGCTCTGAAAGACACCTACAGAAAGAATGTTCCAAAACTCTCTTTCCATTGGGATGAATCATGAAAGAATAATTCAACTGTTGAGGTAATTCAAATGGTTATATTATTTAAAATGAAATGCTTCCTCCTTTGCCCTTCTGAAAAGGAAAGAGAAGTGCATCAATGTCCCACACATTCTTTCATTTCACTCTAACATGTGTTTACCACTCTTTCTTGGTAAAAAACCAACTATCCCATTAATAAAATGACAGGTGAACATCACCAAGAATATCATATAGTTAGATTAATACTAACAAAAGTTCCACAAAAGTCTTGGTGTAATGAAATGCTAATGATCCTCACAAATGGAAGATCACTGACAGAAGCTCACTTTGCCACTAAGCACAGAGGAAATATCAATCTGGGGCAGTAAATGCCAAATGCCATTGGAAGAACATCTCTGCTTCAAGTTCACATCTTGCTCAGCTCCCTGACTACAGCCATCAACTCTACTGCTCCAGAGTAAGGGACGCAGAGAAGGACAGAAAAGGAAGTTAAGGTGGGCAAGAGAATCCTTTACTCCCAACCACTGCTCCCTCCTCTGGAGCACTTCAACACACAGCTCTCTCGCAGCTACCAAGGCCAACGATGCAAGCGGATCCAACGGGAACTTCGCACCGTGCCTTGACCTTCCCTGCACATCACGATTGAAGTCAGTGCAGTGAGATGGGGAGACTTTCTCATGGTCAAGGTGGGTGATGACAGAGCCACAACATGGCATCCAAGGCACGGTCGTCTGGCCCTCCTGCCTCTCCAGCCATGGTACCACCTCTCTCCCCTCGTCTCCCTGAGGCTCTCCTTTCTGGCCCTCCAACTGCCAGCTTTGTCCCTGCACAGGTCTGTCATTCTTGCTGTTCCATATGTAGAAAACAGGTACCCAACAATCACCGAATTGGCCAGTCAATCCCCCTGCCCTTCAGTGAATCAGGCGCTTCACCAGGTGAGTCAAGCAGCCAATGGCTGCCTTCTCTCCTCAGAGCTGGAGTTACTATGAGCGTGTCAGCCTCCCAGCTGGAGACCCCTATCTTCAGATGGCCCGGGCCCAGGGCTCAGGGTGCTCAAAGGAGCCCAGTAACATCAGCACCAGTCTCTAACCCAAGCAAGTCTGACAAAGCCTTTCTAACTAAAGATCATGCCTTGGTGTCCCTGAAGGTGCAGAAGGTTCCAACCCATGTCCAATTCTCATGAGAACCCTGTCGCCTTCATCAGCCCCTTCATTCGACAAACCAGAGACATCCCTGCCCTAGAAGAACTTAAAAATACTTTAATTCAAGGGTTATGTGGTATTTAGCATTTGCCAATAAATGTTAGCCCAGTAAGCAGAGATGAAAAACACAGTCTGCCTTCCAGGGAATTGGAGTCCCCTCTCCGCCCTGGCTTTCTGGGAATGGCCTGACAGCCCAGCACCCTGGCACTGTCACCAGCCAAGTCAGGTCCCATGACCCACACTGACTGGGGCTCCACGAATGGGCAGAGGGCTGGGGAAAGGCCCTGTAGTCCTCCTGGTCCCCAACCTCTTCCATCCTGATTTTTAACTGTTCCCCCACCAGACTGTTTTGCTAAGACCCTGGCTTGCCTTCCCTTAAGCATTCATAAGTTAGAACTCAAGTTGCTTCAAAAGTCACCTCTCTTCTTTAGTGTTCATTAGAAAGCAGATGACACAGACCACAAGAGAGTCAGCCAGAACCAGGAACGAGCCGGGGGATGCTCCTCCAGGGCCTGCCGGTGAAACCCACCTCTGGGTCAGGCATGTCTCTATGGCTACGGCAGGGGTTTTTCTGATTTCAAAAATATAATTTACTACAAAAGATTTAGAAACCACTGAAAGTACAGTTGTGTACTCACATGTGTATATATACACAAACATATATGACTTGTAATAAACTTACCACCATGTGGCCATCACAACCATACACACCTATATACATTTTATATATTAGTTACCTAACTGGAAACACAGCTTTACTACTCCCAGCTTTACTACTGAGTATGGTCATAAAGGTTTCTGATAAAAACACTATCATACCAAAAGTACCTTTATTCATTTATCAAAAATATCTTTATCTGATACCAGTGATGAATGTTACCAAATGACCTTTTAATACCTATTTGGATCAGTATCTGGTTCTTCCCCTTTGATCTGTGAATGAGTTGATGAGAATTACCTAACATTAGGCCATCTTTGAAATCCTACATCACTCTTATTTTATGTGGATTTTTCCTTCAATATGCAATTGAATTTGACTGGGTAGTATCTAGAATTTTTATATATCTACACACAAATGAGACTTGTCAATAGTTTTGATATTTATGCTATCTTTGACAGGTTTTTTATATCAGAGAGATGCACACTTAGAGCAAGATACACAGATATACATATATGTATAGATATATAGAGAGATAATGCTTCAAGGAAATACAAATAGCAAAGGGCTTTCTGTGCATACCTTGAAGGGTTTCCTGGAAATCACTATAAAGCCATCCAGGCTTGCTATCTTCGAAGGAAACAACTCTTTAATTACTTTGACAACTTTGTTCAAGAAGCTTTTCTTGTACCCTTCAGAGAGTCAGCCTCATTTTCAATTAATTTTTGTAGTAAATGTTACCCTAGAAAATAGTCCATCTTGTTCATATTTTCACATTTATCAGCACAAGGTTGTATGTGAAAGTCTCTCCTGTTTTTAATCTGCTCCAAATTCAAGGGTACATTTGTTTTCTATTTTTAACATTACATGTTTATGTTTTCTCTCTTAGTTCCTTGCCACAGGTGTACAGAGATTCTAATTAAACGATGTTCTTCAAAGAACCAGCTCTTTTCCTTATCAAGGACAATGCTTGTACCATTTTGTGTTTTGTTTGGTGTGTGGAGGAGGATGGGGAAAGGGTTGGCTGTTTTGCTAACATCTTTTTAACAGGCTGGATCTGTTTCTGGTACCTCCAAAGTAGCCAACATCAAGAATAAAGGCACAGACTCTGCCAGCCTTACCTCAACAAGTTTTCTTTCATAGGAGCTTGCTAGTTCCTCTGCACCTTCTCCCAGCTTCTGCTCAGTGACTGTAACTTCTCCATCAACATTCCACAGATTTGGAACAACTTTAGGAAAAGAAAGAAACTCCATAAGTATCTTAACAGTAATCAAAAATTATTCCCCCAGTAAAAAACAATAATAATTTCTTCTTTTCCAAATGGCTTCTCCAAAGAGAAAGCATTTTTTAAGGGGATAAAAAAAATCACAATTACTAATTACTTCAACATTGCAACATTTTCATCTAAGTAAAATAAAGTGAATGATAAGCTGTATTTAAAAATGGAAGACCTGTTATAGCGACAGATGCACATGAGTCTGGGGAATAATCTCGTCACTATTTCCATTCCGGGGACAACAGACAATGTGCTGGCAAGACATCAGAGCCTACACTCCTGTCTTCTATGTTGGTCAAATTTCTTTTTCTCCAACAAAAAAAGTTTTCCAATAAGGTAGTTCTTACCTACGTGCTACGAGAAATAGTAGTGGAGGTCAGATTACCTGTGGAATTGTTAATAAGAATTGGTATTTCTTATTCAATTAAGAATTGGTATTTCATTCCAAGAATGAAAGCAAATCAGCTTCTGGGAAAACCCCAAAACCAAAGAGCAATGACAAGGCAAAGACACCCTGAAGAGACTGGCTCCCAGGCGGGCCCGAGGACTAGCACAGTGGTCACCGGTGGGTTAGGTTTCTACTTTCCCGTGTCTGTGCATATACGCTGGCCTTGTAGAGAAGGGTAAATAACTAAAAACTGGAAATGAGCCAGATGATTCTAAGGAAAGAAGAAAAACAAGAGCAGCAGGAACTCCCACCGGTGGTTAAGAAAAGCCCCATGTATGAAGAATACAGACTAGCACCCCCCCACCAACCCACCCCCCAGTCTGAAAACAAGCACCGACTCCACAGAGCCGGCTTCCTGTGTGTTCTAGGAGATGAAACTGCTGGTGCCCCCGTCAAGCGTGATGAGATGGTAATAAGGCAAAACAAGAATCTGAGGTTAACCCCCCAGTGACTGAGATTTGAGAGACAAGGGGACAGGGCAAAAGGGAGTGGAACTGAGAGAGAAAGTGGAAGCGGGGAAAGGCTGAGCAAAATGGACTCCCGAGTTTCACTTGCCCTGTGGCTTGGATTGAGCCTTTCATGAAGCCTCCATCAAGGCACAACTAGTCAGAGTGCACAGAGGTGGCAAAGTCCCTCAAGTGAAGAGCTCAAGACCATACAGAACATGCTGGAATGACCCCTATGCTGTTTCCGTCCCAGCAGTGACTACAGTTCCAGCCACTCCAATAGGGAGTGACCCAAAAACAATCTCAGACCTCACACAGCTATCGAGAAAATATTTAAAGGACTTCCCATTAAAGGTGACAGACTGAACACATTAACTTACATTTGCATCCTCTAAGAAAACCTATGAAAATATTTTTTCTAATGGCATCGCCTTTAAGCAAAAAGAGAGCGAGGGAGGAAACAACACATTTTAGAAGCTGAGAAGCAGGTAGATAACTGGTCAATAACTGACAGAGAAAATTTCATTCTAAGCTGCAAGTGAGCAATACCAAAATGATCTGATTAAAACGTGACACCTCACAAAAGGCTGATAAACTGCTAATACAAGACACTTCTGGAAGGTGGGGCATGGACAAGGGGACAAAAGTCAAAAGAAGGGATAAAAAGTCTGTTTTAAGAAGCAATTAGCAGAAGACTAGGGGTTTGTTCTCTGGAAAAGGTACAACAGTAGGTCTGGACTGAGTTGAATGCAGAAGTATCTTACTGAGAATAGATAAAAATAACACATGCTGAACATCTGAGGTTCTTCCAGTCTTTTTCCCTTTCCTACTCCCACCCCAATCCTAGGGCAGCAGGCAGCCAACATTAACCTCTAAGCATGGGAACAAAAAGTATTTCCTGGGAATCTCAGCAGCTGAGGAGCAAAGCCCTGAAGAGAACAATCTGGGGGCTCCCCAGTGAAGTGGCAGAGCCGGATCATTCCATCAAGAAATGGTTTTACAGTTCTTAATCAGCTTTTTAAGACCCACTCCTACCTCTAAGAAGACAGTTAGAAGTCACCTAATGTTTGAGAGATGCACATAACAGGAAAGACAGGAACTAGAATAAACAAACAGAGAAAAGCATCTTACAGGAAAGAGACACAATTTAGGGAGAGTACTTCACAAGCAAACTATCCACAATATTCCCAGAGAGAGGTGATATTCCCAGAGAGATGGTGTAGCCGAGAAACAAGAATAGGGAGATGTTAAAAAATAAGAAAAAGAACACACAGCCAGAAAGCCCTTTTGGAAAGCAAGACTATCGTAGCCGAAATGGAACCCTAGACATGAAGGACAGAAGTAAGAAAATTTCCGAAAACTGAGCCAAAGAGTAACAAAATGGAAAATGAGAAATGAAAAGGAGAGTTAACTGAATGCAAAGAGCTCAAGAAAGAAAGAAATAAAAAGGTAACGCAGAACAGAGCTTATCAAAGACAGAATTCAAGAAAGACCCCAGAACCAACAGCCGTGTGTCCAGGGACAGAAGAGCTCCAAGGACCCAGCACACGGAGGGGCCAGGGTCACAGGGATGTGTCAGAGCACAAAGGGCGAAGACAGGAGGGTATCACCTTCCAGAGTGGAAGCAGCCTTCTAGATGAAGGAGAGAGAGTTACAAATGGTATAGGATTCCTAAACAGCAACACTGTAAGCGAGAAAAAGAGCAAGTGATACTGTCAACATCCTGAGAATTATTTCCAGCCTTGAATCATCTACCAAGCTGAACATGTGAGAAGTAGGTGAAGACATTTTCAGATGGGCAACCTCCCCCAAATTTTACCTCCCATCAAAAAAAAGAGAACACTAGGCAGAGGAAACAGAGATTCCAAGAAATAGGGGATCTGACACAAAAGTGAGAGAGAAAAATTATTCATAATAATCAGAGTAGAAACGACCCACATGGCCATCAAGGATGCCTGATAAACAAAATATGGTCTATCCATACAATGGAATATTACTCAGTCATGATAGGAAAAAGGAATGAACTGCTGACACCTGCCACAACATGGATGAAGCTTGAAAACACTGTGCTAAGTGAAAGAAGCAGATACCAAAGGCCATTTTTGCATGGTTCCATGTATACCAAACATCTAGGACAAGTGCTGGTTTCCAGGGATGAGAAGGAAGGACATGACTGCTAAGCAGTGCACGGTTTCTTTTCAGGGTGATAAAAATGTTGTGGAATTAGACAGTGTTGATGATTGTACAACCTTGTGAATGTACCAAAACCCACTGAATCTTGGAAATGGGTGAATTGTATGGCATATGAATTACAGTCTCACTAAAGGAGGAGGAACAGCAGTAATAGTGGTTGTGAATTAACAGGAGGGACAGGCCCACGGAGCAGCCAGGCTGCTTCCAGCTACAGTGGGTAGAGTACTCTAGGAGAGACTGCTGCCTCAGGATGGAAGTGAGAGGGGCCTCACTTCTTAACATACGGAGGAGATTTACGTAACTGAGAGGGCATTTGTACTTGAATTAGTAATGAGTACAACCAATTTTAAAAAATGATAACTATGAACTCAAAAGAAATAAAAAAGTTGTGCAGAAATAACGATCAGGTAAGTCACAGTTCAGTGAGTCACCAGCTGCAGTCAGGATAATGTGATTATGGACCAGGGATTGAACCAAAAAGATCACAGGTCTGTGCAAGAGGATGAGGGGCATGAAGGATGGGAGCGTAAGGACCCAGGAGCAAGTCTTTTTCTCCCACAGTGAGAAGTCAGTAAACATCACCTACAACTGAGAAACCAAGGAGCAGCAATAGGTAAGCATTATTCAGAGACGTCAAGGTAACTACCAAAACTGTTGCAAAGTTTGAAAGGAGAGAAAGAGTTTGAAGCGGTTGCTTATGGGAAGTGGGAAAAGGGGGAGGGTGGTGGCTGATAGTATCAGGCCTTTAAACCATTAGACTATGTGCAAAAGTTTTGTTTAAAAAACTAAATTTAATTTTCAATGAGAACCAGAATTAAGAGGAAGCTACATTTAGAAAAGTTAACTAAGACAGCCACAGTGTCCACTCAGACAGGGTGGTGGCCCACGGTGAAGCCTGGTGCTACTGCACATCGGTGCTCCCATGGTCTGGCTGCGCTCTCCAGATGCCTGACCTCGCCGGGATCCGCGGCTGCCTTCCTCCACAAGGAGACCCTGCTGGGCAGGAAGACAAAACCATCCACCCTGCTTGAGGTCTGCACATCCTGCTAGAAACCAAGCCCCCGGCCTTCTGTCCGCGGGCCCTCCTGCAGGTACAGTTACGAGATATCAGCAGTCTTCTGGGCTGCAGGAGGCAGATGCATAAATAAGTTTGAGCCTTCAAGACTGGAGACAGACCATGACCACCCATGAACTTACAGATAGACCCTTAGAAACTAGCCAGTCAACCTTCCCTGCAAATATCTGGCCCCTCACTGCCCTGGATCAGCTCCTGCAGCTTTAACAAGCACGTGAGAAACTTCTATCCCACATATAAAATAATATAATAAGAAACTAACGCCAAGTAGATCCTGCTTTTCTCATCAGTAGGCAGCCCCTACAATGGCCCCAGGATCCTCCCTCCAGGCACTCACGTTCTTAGGTGCTCTCCACCCGAGAGTTGGGCTGGACTTACGGACTCACCTCTAATGAACAGAATACGGCAGATCCTGAGAGGAAGAGATGAAAAGACTGTGGCTTCCATCTCAGGTGTCCTCTCTCTCTCACTCACTCTCTCTGGGAAGAGCCACCTGCCACCTTCTGAGTTGCCTCACAGGCAGACGCAGGCTGCAAGGAAATGTGTCCAGCTGACAGCCAGCAAGGGCCTGGGGGCAGCCGCCAGCCACGTGAGCGGACATGGGCCTCCCCCAGTCAAGCCTGGCTGTGATGACTGCAGCTGCAGCGGAGGCCCTGCCTGCGGCCTCGTGAGACGCTCTGCGGCAGGGCACATGGCTAAGCCATGCCTGGCTTCCTACCCTACGCGGACCGAAGTCAGCACAGGTCTGTTGTCTTAAGCTACTAAAGGCAGCAACAGATAGCTAATACAG